TGCATGACATCTACACCTGCTATTACTATTAGCCTCATTATTATTATTATTATTATTATTATTATTATTATTATTATTATTATTATTATTATTATTATTATTATTATTATTATTATTATTATTATTATTATTATTATTATTATTATTATTATTATTATTATTATTATTATTATTATTATTATTATTATTATTATTATTATTATTATTATTATTATTGTTATTATTATTATTATTATATTTATTGCTAATATTATTTTGACTTTCTTGTTAATGTACATGTGCAGTATGTTTGATGTGAGTACATCCATTTCCTTTTTTATCAAATCCAATTCATTATCTAATATCTACTACCCACCTTACATACATGTACATGTATACTGTACATGTACATGTACACATTCTACTGATTCCTTGTATAGCACTCATGCTGTGTTTGTTCTCTATTTGTTAAATGGTGGCAGTGAGAGAGAGTCTACTGTAAGTTATCATTACAGTAGCTTCACCTATTAGCAGCTTTTCCTGTAACGTACAATCTATTGTATGTACATGTACATGTACAACAGATGTACATGTACATGTACTCTCTGTACACATGTAGCTCTATGTACATTACATACCACTGTTGTATATTTTCTTTTGATTTGTACCAGCTGTCATTGAGTTTTGCAACAAGATGGTGGATTTTATGCACAGCTGTATACATGTACGTGTAGGTGATTTCTTCACTAGCTAGTGGAATCATTAGCCAGTCTTCATAGTATATGTGTACATGTATGCGTCTGTTGACAGCCAAACAGCTGCTATTATCAGGAGGAAGTTTGATAGTTAATTAGTTATAAGCAGATAAGACTAGCTGGATCATAATGTACATGTACATGTACATGTAGTTTATTGTCATTATTATTATTATTGATTTGTTATTATTATTTATTATTATTAATTGGATCATATCTTCCTTGTTTATCTTCATGTCCAGGCTTTTGGCAACGCAAAGACGATTGCTAATAACAACAGCTCAAGATTTGGCAAATTTATACTAGTCAAGTTCAAGGAGAATGGAGCTTACTTTGGGTGAGTGTGGACATGTACTGTAGTACAGGGACTTTGGCCTGATTTTTGAGTAGCTTTAAAAATTTATAAAAAATGCAATTTTGATAGGCAGGACATAAGTACATGTAGATGTGCTATTTGTGATATGTTCAGTATTGATGTACATATACTTATCCCTCTTTCCTCTCTCCCTCTCTCTTTCAGTGCTTCTATTGAGAAGTATCTTCTTGAGAAGAGCAGGATAATTAGCCAGGCACCAGGAGAAAGGTTTACCATTATTTTATTTATTTATTTATTTATTAATTTATTTATTATTAAGGAATTATCACGTATTTTATTACCTGTTATCTGGAGCTGATACCAACCTTAAAACTAAACTTCACTTACTGTCTCTCGATGAGTACCGCTACCTCCAGTCCTCAGGGACCAATGAATTGGAGGGAGGGGGAGACGAAGCAGCTGAATTCCATCGACTGAAAGAATCATTGAGAATGTTGAAGTTTACTGGAGAAATACAAGACAGGTACATGTACATACATGTAATTATACATGTAGTTGTTTATTTAAACCTGTTGTTAATATATTGTTTATTGTTTAGTATGTTTACTGTCCTCTCCGCTATTCTACACATCGGGAACATTAAATTTGAAAAGGTAATTAATAAAGTGGGTGGGTGTGGTCTAATTACATTATTCATAGATCAGTGGAGGTGAGAAGGTTCAGGTGTCCAATCTTAAGACGGCTCAGGTCATATCAACTCTC